AGCTTTGCGCGAAATTCAAAAACAAACAAACAAAGCGTTACTATAATTTCTGAATGTAAAAATGGACTCAAGGTAAAGAAGGTACTGGTAAGTTCTGTTTTACAATATTATCGCTATTATTAAACGTTTTTTCTCCCTCTCTTTCGTAAAGAATGAACACAGCCGAGGCTTGTTTTATTCTGGCGGCTCGAAACTACGCCGACCGAAGTGCATCGGTAAGTAAACTGAATCATATAAAACTATATAAAATAACCCATTAACCCTCAAATTTACCGGCTAATGTTTATAGGGTCACTATTTGTGAGTGTTCACGTGTTAAATTACGCTGACTATAATACTATGTTTTTGTCCGTTACGACCTTCACTGTAAATAATTGACCAAAAATTTAGTGAAATCACTAGTATTCAATGTAAAATACATAGGGGGCAGAAGTAGTAATTATTGAGATTAATTTCAAGAATGGTGATATCTTTGTCCACACTATTGTGTGGTCGTACGTTATTAACCAAAAAACGTCATAGAAATTTGGAGAATATCCAGTCCAGAATAATATGTTTAATTCTGGTATCAGCCAGCATACATGGGGTGTTTTGAATTTGTAATTATTCTTCTTTGTAAGGAAATAATTGTTTAGTAAATATCCTCGGCTAATAATTCTTTTATATACCGATCTCTTCATCCTGGTTCTTGCTTTAAACATCACGTATCGTGTTTATATTTTTAGTCATAAATGTTTGTGTTCCAGGACGAACACACTATTCTTCGATCTTGGGCTGTCCGTGATTTTGCTCCCAACGTCCCACAGTATGTACAGATATTTCGTCCCGAGAATAAATTGCACGTGGCGTTTGCCGGTAAGAAATGATATTAGAATTACATTAAGATTAATGTAATTAAACAGTGAATATTTCCGAGTTCCTTTGTTTCGTATTTTATAGTTTCTGAATCGTGATTCATACGACGTCATTGTAAATCATCAATAGTTCTTTCACGACTTTTAACAGAAGCAATAACTATCTTACCTTATTTTTAAACTTAAAGTAACAATTTTGAATCGGTTTCAAAATGAACCACTGACAATTCTGAATCGGTTTCTAAAGGAATCATCGGGCGTTTTTAACTCTGTTTCTAACTGAATCATTGACAATTTCTATTCGGTTTCTAACGGAATCATTGACAATTTCTAATCGGTTTATAACGGAATCATTGACAATTTCTAATAGGTTTCTAACGGAATCATAAACAATTTCTAATCGGTTTCTAATGGAATAATTGACAATTTCTAATCGGTTTCTAACGGAATCATTGACAATTTCTAATCGGTTTCTAGCGGAATCATTAACAATTTCTAATGGGTTTCTAATAGAATCATTGACAACTTTTAATCGGTTAATAGCAGAATAATAGGCAGTTTTTTCATTGAAAATTCTTACTCGGTTTCTAACGGAATCATTGACAATTTCTAATCGGTTTCTAGCGGAATCATTAACAATTTCTAATGGGTTTCTAATAGAATCATTGACAACTTTTAATCGGTTAATAGCAGAA